TGTGTGTATGTGTGTGTGTGTGTGTGAGAGCGCGCGCGCGCGCGCGTGCGTACACGTGTATGTTTACTTTTTTCCATTTTGTTAAAAATAAGATGAATAACAATCATTCAAATTGCTTTTTTGAGAGCTGAAACTGGCTGAGACATGTGATTAACTGAAGGGCCTGCCACTGACGATTGTATTGGCAAAGCTATACTGCCCTAAGCTGACAAATTCATAGTTTAGATACTTTGAGAAATCCGAAAATCGTTGATTTCTCAAAACTGCTGTAAATAAGAAAAGGGTGTTTTGTCAGTGCAGGGCAGTATAATTTATTTATAGCCCTGTAAGTGGTCATTTTGGGCAGTGTCATTATGATTAATATATAATTAGACACAAGGTGGAATGGTTGAAGAAGTCATTTATTCTGGTGATTGTCTTAGACAGGCCGTCGTAGGTGCAGGTTCAGTTGCAAAATAAATACGGATATTCCTTCAATGCCAATGCCGGGTTCCTAGTGATTAGTTTGTTATTGGAAATGTCTGAATAAGGAAAGCAACCAATTACAAATTCTACGAGTTACTCATCCGGAAGTATCGCGTGGAGATTGTTTATTATGATGAAAAACGCTGAGTTTTGAGTCTTTGATTTTGAGGAAGCAGGCCTTGAACATGAGGCTGTAGTATTTATCTTATGTTACCTTTCACTTCCAACGGCGTAGATCTCGTGGATCCCCAGGCGCCCGGCGACTGCTGTGTGTTGTCTCCGTTACGGTTAGGACTGACGCTCTCTCTTCTCACGTTGAGTTTTTAGTTTCCAGTCGATCTTGTTTGTTTGTACTCATCAGTGCACGGGGAAAAACTGCTACCCGTGCACAACCAATTGGCCAGAAAGTCGCCCCCAAAACTAGATCTTGTCAAGTTTTGGAGACGTGAAAGGCTAAAATATTGGCCCTATGAGGCTTCAGCCATAATATAAAATTATGTCCATTTTTTGGTAGATTGTCTGATGCAGAAAAAAAGGGATTGTCTGATATAAGGTAGGCCCTGCCCTAGACTAGATGTGTTTACTTTCTGAGCCAAAAGGTTCTCGAGATAGAAATCTAGATTCTACTAATCTCTACTACTCTACTAGATCTAGATTTCTAGATTACCACAAACATACAAAACATGCACGGACTTCTCGCAAATTTCTATATATATCTAAAGTGGCTATTCTCACCCGCCCGAAAGTTCTCGCAAGATCTACTCCTCCCCTCTTCTCTCTCTCTCTGTCTCTTTCTG